CACAAATATATTTTTTTGGTCAAATATTATATTGATCACAAATTACCCAATTTATTAGTCACAAACACTCTTCGTCATCGTCGCCACTAACACCATGGCGCCACCGCCACCATCGCCATTGCCTACACCACAATCGTTTGCGACCACCAACTCACCACCACCACCAAGGCCAGATCCACTATTACACCACCTCACCAGTGCCACCACCAACAAAAACACCCCCCAAAAACTAACGAAAATTCTACTACCTTGGCCAACACCAATGTCGTCGTCGCCGTCACCACCTGAATCGTTGTCTCCAGTGCCACCATCACCATCAATACCTCAGCACAACTACTTGCAGTACCACCATCACAACCCAAAAACCACCAAAACATGAAAACAACTATTGCCCATCCAAAAAAAAAAATTTACTACCACTGTAGCAATGATCTACACCATCACCACTATGATCTGTGCAGCTACAGTTGTAATCTGCGCCATCACAATCTACAGCAGTAATCTGCACCAACACGATGTGCAGTCGCGATCTACAAGCCTCCACCAATGCTCACAAAGAACGATGACTTTACCCACGATTTATAGAGATTTCGGTGATATGGGCCTCCAGCGATTCTACTATCACCTATAACGACGCATCTGTTACCACTAATTTCATAAGAATCAATGTCATTCATAGTCACACCTCACTTGTGTAGCCACACAGCACCTGAGCAACGCTCGTATCATCGCTTCCCGTCATTTAGCCGTTGTGTAGAGAGAGAGAAAGATGGGATTGAGAGAGATAAAGGGATGGGGGAGAGCAAAAGGGAGTGGCTGTGGTTGCATAGAAAGAGAAAGAAGAGATTGGAAAATAATTAAGGTTTTGTAGGGTAAATGGTAGTTGGGTGGATATCTACGTAAAATAATTTTAATAATATTATTATCAATATTTACAATTTTAATTATACGTAATTTTTGAAAGAAAAACTTATATCCCTTAAATTTGATTTGAGATTTTAAAATCACTCAGGGTGCGTTTGTTGTCAATATTTTTCATGAACAATGTATTTTTCTACCCAAATTTCTACTTTTATACAGTTTGATTGCCATTTTTTCTATGGAAAATATTTTCCTACTTTTTGTCACATGATCATATTTTCCTCCAAATCAAGAAAAATATTTTCTTTAGATGAAATAGGATTTTATTTTCCAAGAAATTCGCTCTTTCTTTCTCTTGCTCATTTATCCACCATCTTTCATCTATCCATCAATAAAAAGGGGCAAATATAATATTTTCTAAATTGATCAATAAAAGCAAATATAATATTTTCTAAATTGAAAATTAAATTAATCAAACAAATTTAATTGACGATTTACATACAAATAAGTTTTACGCAATTGAATTACTTAAAATTCATTTTCTTTTCATGCAAATTTTATGCATGTACAAAATGGTCAAACGTGATAGCACAATATTTTTCCAAAGGTCACGTGTGCTTTTACTAAATGTCAAATACATTGTAAGAAAGGTAACGTGCATGTACAAAATAATCACAAAATAATAACATGGTAGAACATAAAGTTACATGTAATTTAAAAAATACTATACAAAATCTTCGATTCGTATTAGAGAAAAAAAACAAATTTAGAAGTCACACGCAACCATGCCTGTATTAAATTTTATGACATAAAATGCATAAAAAGAAGTTGCAAATACAAGAACCAACGCAACTACTTAAAACTAAAAATGAAAAAAATGCATTAAAGTCACACAGTTACAAAAGCTGTAACATTTTTGTAAATAGTTATGTCATTTAAGTGCTAAACCATTTAACGAATTTGAAATTAAATTGATTAACTTAAAATTTAAATACCCAATTGAAAATTTACCCAAAGTTCATTGACTACGGATAAAATGTACCCCGTACCTCTAGAATTACTTGTTTAAATGGTCATTGAATTTATGTTCATGTTTTTGATTGGTCACTGAAATTTAAAATATCTAATTTTGGTCATTGAACTTA